CTCTCTCTCTCTCTCTCTCTCTCTCTCTCTCTCTCTCTCTCGTCGGCTTTACTTCCCCCTCACCAGTGAAGGATGACATCCCTGAATCTGATGAAGCAGCGAAGCACTCATTCTGGCTGGAGGCTTCTGAGGGAGACCCCACATGAACGGGCGCCCTGGACGAGGAGCTGCCGTGTCTGAGGGGCTTCAGAGAAAACCTGTCAGCTTTGAGAAGTCTCTGGGTAAGTGCCAATAATGCCTCTATCAGATGAAAGCAGAGCTGTASAGAGCTGCCACAGTGTGTCAGCATGTTGGAACTAATTATTGATGAACATTTGTTTAAGGATGAGCTGCASTGAACTGAGGTGGGACTGAGCTTCTGCAGCAGCTGCATCTCATCTGTCAGGGGCTGAGCACTGTTCTTGGTCACGACTCTGAAATGCTGTGTCTATGTTTGCCCATCTCTCCTCACTGCTGCGCTCAGCAAAGCACACACTCCTACAGATGGCCATCRCTGCCTCGAGTGAGCCATCCATTATCAGCAAATGATCATAAATGGGGGACGGCATCAATAAGCTTTTGTTTCTCCCCAGAAATCTGTTTAATATTTACCAGGCTGAAGTTCAGATTCAAAGTTTATCTGAACGCCMCACAGAGATGATCAGAGCTGACTTTGAACCTCCACTTCATCAGGAGCTAAAGAAGTTGAGGTTGAGATCCATATAGAAAGAGCACTAAAATTACAAAGTCAGTAAAGAGAAATGATAATCAGATAAATAATGTGGTTGAAAAAAGGAGAAAAGTATTGCTATGGTAACAGCAAGGGTAGAGGAGAGGTGGAGGAAGCTCTGTTTTATTTTCTGGCATTAGTTCTCATTTATTTACACTATTGATGGAACTTTTTTAGACAGAAATGATAAGACCTTAGGAAAGCTAATTACCTGCCAACTTCTAAGCCAGAAGTATGGATTTAAATCAACTGATGTTGAGAAATAAAGTTACSGTGGTCAGACCTTGACAATAACATTATGCACAATCTTATGTGAAATGGTGATATCGTGCTTGAACTAGCATGATCTGTTAACACTTTCAACACCATCTGCTGCCAAAGCATATTTTAGCTCCATATCTGGTAAACTGAATTATGTCACAGTTTAAATTGATTACCTGTGAGCTGAGGTGGGTAGAGTACTAAAAAATTGTACTTAAGTAAGAGCAGCACTATACAGTGGTTTGTGAAAGTTTGGGCACCTTTGTTAATTTTCCTGATTTACCTTTATAAATCATTGATTGTTTGGATAAAAAATATCAGTTAAATATAT